CCATACACCATATACCATACACTCCCATACAGCATAGATGTGTCCTCTGCATACTACTTGTTTCATTTTCTTTCATTGGACCCGTCTCATGTCTAACGTCCACTACCGTCCTAGGATTTACGTGTGGACTGGAGCTCGAGGAGGATTTTTCAGCTTCGACACACGTTTCTTTGATTTCTGGTGGTGTCGATTCTCCGTGGAATGCTTAACTGTCCATCCAGAGTGTTTTCAGGTCTTCACAACAGTTATTTGCTTTTGCAAATGGCAAGTGGCTCTTCCTAGATAAGTCATCTACTGATTTTCGGAAACGGAAAGGATTCGAGGCTTTGTTGAACTGTAACGGGATTAAATAAGGCCTTGCAAGTATTACTAAAAGTAAACCCTAACTCTGAGTTAACAATATCTTTCGTACTATTTATCAAAAACGCAGGATAGAACGTTCGGCGTTGGTCAACCTTTGATGAGAAATACCTCGTGTATTCAACTTTTCCAACCATCATACAGATGATAGAGCGCATATTTGGCTTATACGATGACTAGCGGTGGCCTAAGTATGTTTTAAATCAATATATTTAACATTTCGGGAGAGTATGGTACCCACCTGAGGCTTCATGGGAAGAGGAGCTTTGTGAACTCGCAGCAGGAAACTGAAGGAGCGAGTTGGCTTGTGTAGATTGCCGAACTATTCTGTGCACTGTACTTTACGTAATTATCAGCTAGATTGATCCTCGTCGTTTAGGTCTTTGAAGAATTCAGAACCTCCTTAAGTTGTTCCATTTACGCCCACTTATTTATTTCTGTTTAAGTACAACTAAGGAATGGATTGCAATACGAGTATTGGATTAAACCTTGTGCTTTCCAACAACGCCATAAACGTTATGTTTATCTCGTTGCTGTACGTGTTCAGAAACTCAGTTCTTAAAGGCAGCTGGACGATGTCGATGCTACTACATGTCTACAGAATTGGTTGAACTCAGAGCAAGACTACAAACAATGGACTATCGGTTGGCACGTGCACAGAATGATCTTATCGATTTAGCGAAGACGAAATGTGGCACTGATCCGTTGCTGAAAAGTTACTATAGATCCTTGAAGTGAGGTTAATACCTACATAGAACGTAGCTTTTCTTGATTATATGATTTCGTTAAGGCTGGAAATGGAGTCTCTACGTCAAGAACGAAACAAATTGCGCGACGAACGAAATAAACTAGTGGACGAGAATGCTTCCCTAGCTGTTAGTTGCCCCTTTGTTGTCCGTTATCCAATCTTTTCATTGGACTCTTTCATTAAAAAAATGCTTGCGGTTTCAAAAAAACATCAAAAGCTTATTGCTTGTCGACCTCAAGTTAAAAAGGATAAAGGATAAAGCTCTCACCGTTGATCAATCCCTGAGGGGTGCATGATGCATTCGACTTCATTAAGCATCGTTGAAGGTGATTGAATGCATATCTAGCCTTTATAATGACATACGGTGGGCTGCGAGGTATCCGGCCAGTGCTGCTATCCTCCTAGACAAGTCTGCTACCAATTTGCCGACATCGGTGAAACGGAAGGCTTGGTGAGCCTTGGCCGCGGGGATCGATCCCGTGTGCATTGCAGGGCGCCTCCAACCACTGCGTAACACACGTTCGTGATATCAGGTTATTATTTTGTGAAATTGTTTAGGCTCGTACCTCAAAAGCCGAGAAATTCATGGAAGTCGCCAAGGATGACATAGAGCGTCTTAAGATGCAGTTATCAATGTTGAGAGAGAATGGTCGGAAGAAGGATGCTACTGAAGGTTCATTTGCGTACTTATTACCGGAAAATAGGTCTGGTCATGTATGAAAAATGGAAGGCTAGTGCTCATGTTAGGTCTTTTAGAATGTTTTCAATTTAGTATCGCAATTGGTATACGGGACAAATGCAAGTGATGGAGCAAAAATTTCTGCAGCTGTATCTGCTCTTGAGTGGACAGCTACTTCAACTGAAGATCACAAGGTTTGTCTCTTATTCCTAGTATCCCTGCAAGTAGTAGATCTCTGTATGTACCGGTATTTTTTCCATCGGATTATCATTCGTACTCTGTTTAGATTGTAAATACCGTGAATGAAGAAAAACAGATCCTGTCCTTTCAGGTGCAAAATCCTCATGGGTTTATAGATCAGGATAAGGGTGTGACAAAAGCTGAACCGCTCACGCCTCTTTTCCTTAACGAAAAACATAAGTGAGTTATACTTTTGTCCTTGTTTTGCCAATATTAGAATGGTAGGCTTAATCTTCTACGTTTTTATGGTGGCTTTTCAAGAGGTTACGTATTATAA